TTTTTTTTTTTTTTTTTCTGGTACCGGGAATCAAACTCACGACCTTGCGCTTGCCAGACAGGCGCTGTGCCACTGAGCTAAACCCCCAGCCCCCCACTTCATATCTTTAAAGAACAGAAAGGTAAACAATTAAGATCTGAAAAATTTTCTTATCCATAAAGTAAACATTTAAAGCTCAATAACTACAGCAGACATCTTTCCTTTAACAAAATAATGTAAGATTATGATCCAAGCCCATCCTTACTGCTGTGATTACTCGGGGAGAGGAAAAGGGCCACTGTGTTGCTACCCAGAGCACCCTCAGTTCCAGATCACTTCCTGGTGGACAGCAGGTGCTCAATACTTGCCACACTAGTGATATGGCAATGCAGAATAAATAATTAGGCACTGGATCATAGTTTACATTGTGTGACAACCTTGAAAGATGATGTTTCTCCAAAAGAAGTGATGTTTCTTTACAGGAAGACTCATTTCACATTGAGAGTAGGCTGACCAAGAGAAGGGGTTTGTTCTGGATAACACTTGCATGGGAGGTGAGGTTCTGCCTCCTACTACTTAGGGGACCTTTATCCTCTAGTTTGGATACAATACGTCCTCCAAGACTCAGGGTGTGAGGGTGGAGCTTTTGGGAAGTGAATGGATCATGAGGCCTGTAAGCTCATCCACTGATGAGTTCATAAGGTAATAGGATTATTAGGAGGTTGGCCCTAACTGGATGAAGCAGGTCATTAAGGACTTTTGAGGGCTTCCTTGATGGCTCTCTTCCCTCTCTGTTTTAGGATGCCATGAGGTGAGCAGCTTTGCTCTACCACATCCTTCTGCCTTGACATTTTGTGTCACTTCAGACCACACAATGGATTCAACTGACCATGAACTGAAACCTCTGTAACTGTAAGCCAAACCAATCTTTCCACTTTTAAGGTGATTTCCCAGGTATTCTGTCACATTGACAAAAACTGGACTACCACAAAAAAACACCATTTCCTCATCAGTAAAAAGACATACTGATACAATTTATCTCACAAGCTGGTTGTGAAGTGTAAAAGCCATGACAACATCTCTCCCTCATACTCAGCACTTAGTAAATCTCAAGTGTGAGGAATCAGGTATTAGGGAGAAGCGTATGAAATCCCTGATATTCCATCCTTTCTCCACTACAACCATGGCAGTTTCCTAGGCTCAGCCCAATGCTGTATAATTTTAAGTACACTTCAAAAGAATCTCTTTGTTCAAAATAATGCATCAGGCAGAGACTGAGGGGATTCTCTTCCTGTTAACTCCACTGCTTTATCTGCCCACATATCTCTTGGGCTATTGTCAGGACTAAGAGAAGCAATGTCTGGAGCCTGGGTAGCAGGTCACACATGGGGAGTACTGTTAGCAGGAACTTCCCACAACTGAAGGCAGAGCCTGCCTTCCACATAAGGGCTTCAGGGATCTGGCTCCCCCTGGGCAGCAAGGCAGCAACAGGGCAATCCACCCAAGTTAGAAATATTCAAGATTCTATGAAAGACCACTTAGTTACAATATCTACTAATAGGCCAAATTCTGCAAAAACTGGCTCTATCAATAAACAAATATTGGCCAGATAACACCGTGTGGGTGGAGTTGATACAAGTTTACCAATGAGTTAATGCTGAAGGCCCAATTTATATTCCTCCACTTACCATCCACACATTCTTATTCTCACCTTTTACAGTATACCTGTTGAGTGCTCCAATTCCTAGCCCCCACACCATAATCACCACCACCAGCGGTACAATTAACATTCCCCCCTCCATGGTAAGAAAATTAACCTCTAAAGCATCTTCTGACAGAATTTCTATTCTTACCCATTGCCTTACAAAATAATTATTTTAGGGGCTGGGGATTTAGCTCAGCGGCAAAAGCGCCTGCCTGGCAAGCACAAAGTCGTGAGTTCGGTTCCCGGTACCGGAGAAAAACCAAAAATAATTATTTTAACAAATTTAACTTTTATAACTTGGAAAGTGCTGAAATACTGTCTTTATTCTTAATGTGTAATATTTTATACTTTTTGTTGATAAACTCAAACACAAGGTCCAAATCTTGGAAATATTTCAATAGCAATAAAGATCAAAACACACTGAAATTGTTGCCTAAATACTGATTTATATAGCTCTGTTTGGCTGAGCAGGTTTATAAATTAGTTCTAGGTTTTAAAATGTGTCAGATGATTTTCTTTAAGCAAAGATCCTCTATGTTAGCTACTATACTGCATCCTACTTGAAATCATCTCCTATATGTGCCTATGTATTTATATCTCCAGACACAACTTCATTTACAAGGGATTTAAATGCATGCTCTCAAAAGGAAAGAAATGTCTCACTTTTCTTTGCATTCTATATAACACCTAGCATTGTCTCCAGCATGTGTTAGGGATTAAATAAACGTTTGTTGAGTTAAATCATGTAAGAAGCTCAAGGAAACTAGCTTTTTAGTTTCCACATGAAAATACACTACAATATAGTCAAGCAGTGACTTCTAATGTTAGAAGATCAAAGGAAGAGTCACAATAGTCACAGGAAATTAATGCAAGAATATCAGATTAATTTTCCATTAAAGTGAAGGTGAACTACCCTTGCTTACTGAGGAGAAGATAATGTTCTAAGATTTAACACTCAACATTAGGTGAAATGCATTTATCTTCAAATATAAGTGCCTACTTCCCTGAGGTGTGGAATGCATTCTGTAAAGGCTAATGGCACATTATAGGCAATCCAAGGAATCCTAGTATATAGGCAGTGCTGTAGTTTGGCTGAGTCTTTCCAAAGGCTAAAGGTTTGCTCTCCTGCTCAGTGCTACTGGAGATGAGGGAACCTTTAAGAAACTGAGCCTCCTAGGAGGAAGTTAGATCACTGAGGTATGCCCTTGAAAGGGACACTGGGACCCCAGCCTATCCCTGCCTCTCTTTGCTTCCTGCTTGTCATGAAGTGAGCACTTTCCTCCACCATGTGTTCCCACCATGATGTGCTGCCTTGCCATAAATGCAAAAGTGTTAGGGCCAATAAAGCAAGGCTGAAATGTCCAAAACTAGGCTGCAATAAGCTGTTCCTTTTTAAAGCTGATTATCCAAGTATTTTGTTACAATAATGGAAAGCTAACAAGGCAGAGATATTAACATAAAATTCTGCTCACTAACACTTGATAACTTAGTAAGGCTAAGTGATGAAGGAACAGAAGTGGACTCCTCCTGAAAGTACCAACAATGCAGGACTGCCTTACATTTTTGCCCTGATTCTGGTGGTTGAAAGAGTCACCCAGTGCTGAGCTCACAAACAAGCTATACACAAGACATCCAATCTTCTGTGGCACAGGGGCCACTGTGTGAGTTTATTCAGAGCAATGAAAAACTAGGAATGACAATTGTTTCCTGTTAGTAAAGAAAACAAGTTCAAAAATTACCATTCTCCACCTACCCATGAAAGACAAGACTATATAACTGAGACAATTAACAGTTAGGTTAATAAAATCATTAGTTCTAGAATTATTTTTAAAAAGTTTTATGTGGTACACTCAAAACTATGAGAAAACTCGATCATGCAGGTTTATCGACATTAATTTTACTTGAGGAAAAATTCTTCAGCTAGGTTTTAGGGTCATGTCATCCATCACAGGATGAACTTTAAGCTACTGCAATAACCTTTGCAAAGCTCAGTCTTACTAGTTCCAGGACCTTCAAGTGTGTGACTTCATAGTCTAATTCAAATGCCTTAAGCCTCATGCTGAAACCCGTCCACTTCCTTAGAGTAGTTGTATATCGAGGGTCTCACAACTCTAAAGTGCTCCTCATGGACAGCAACATCCCAGTCTTCAACTTCTCCATGTTCTCCACTTCTCTCCTTCTGCTCTTAGGGAACCTCCAGTCTCTAGGCAACTCCCTAATCCTTGCCTCACTGGCAGTAAATGAACCCCATGGGCAGGTGTTTTCAACTGGCCATTGTGAGGAGTGAGAATAATGCTTAATTTTCATGTAGCAATTTACAATTGAGTTTTTGTTTTTATTTTTTTTATTTTTTTTTTTTTTTGTACCAGGAATTGAACTCAGGACCTTGTGCTTGCCAGTCAGGCACTTATGCCACTAAGCTATATCCCCAGCCCACAATTTACAATTGAGAAAGGCTCTTTGACATCTTTTCTTATTTGGCTTCAATTTTAACAGGTCTTATGATGATTCCTCCTAAAGCAGCAAAGGGAGCTTTGAGAAGCTGCTGTACAGCTGTGGACACTAAACTGTAGTGAGCTATTTGTACTTTATCCTTCTCTGACTTAATGGCTCACAATGGAAAGGGAGTGACCAACAGCTGAGGGAGACCTGTGACCATGCCCTGTGATTCCACAGATCTCAGTGAACACAGCTGGTCCACACCTTGGCACAAAGACTTGGATTCCAACCAAATAAGCAACTCTATCTATCCTAAAAAGAAACACAAACCAAATAAAGCAGTCAACAATGCATACTGCCAGGAAGGCAATCAGAAAAACAACAGTTTGGTTAAACTGAGTTTCATGTGTAGCTGGCTTGGCAGATTTAAAACGTAATAAATCCAAAGCCTAACCATGACTAAAATATGTATATGCCTTTTTACTTCCAACTATCTTGAAAAAGTAACAATGATGCAATACTGTAAATCTGCAGTTAACTAATTCCAAGGGTTTTTTTTGCATCAAGTTTGTACCCTCATTCTATATTACTTGCCATCTGTCTGTGGCGAATATTTAGTTCTCACATCTTGCTTCCTAACCCTCAGAACAAATGATCTCAAAAATTAGAAAAATGTCCCACTAGACCAGAAGGGGATAAGCACTTGTATTTCCAATATCACTGCTTTATAATCTTCTGCTGCCATCTCCTGTGTTAATAAAGCAGCACCTTTACATCATGAGCAGAAACAATGGTACCTAACAGGAATAATTCTTTCCAGTCAGTCGGATGGCAAATTCTTTCTACACAGAGAAAAACAAAAGCTGAATTCTGTTACCTCTAAGTGACTTCGCCTCTCAGCAATCACACGTTCATCTTTGTTTCCAAATAATTTCTTTGGAGGGAATTCAAGGGCAGCAAGCTGAAACACACATTTTAGAGGATTCATTAGTATTACACCTATGATCTTTGGATTATTACTATTTGCAATCTCTATCATGGGATGAAAAGAAAAAGAGGCTGAAAATTTTTTTTTCTTTCTTTTTTTTTTTTTTGAGACAGGGTCTTGCTATGCAGTTCAGGCTGGCCTTGAGCTCACTTTGTAGCCCAGGCTGGTCTCAAACTCGGAATGATTCTCCTGCCTCAGCCTTCCAAGTGCTTTAAAGTGAGGCTGAAAATTTAAAGATGGTGATCCTGCCTTGCTCAGTAACTCACTCACTGTGACCCTAAACAGATCATGTAGTAAAGGTTCAAAGTCCTCAGTAGGCAAATGATAAGACAGCGGGTGGGGATGCTCAGGAAGGATGGACCCGATGGGTCAAGGTGATGGAGACCACTATGCAGCAGCTCTGAGCAGGCCTTAACTAACTGGCTTTCCATGTTTACTTGTGAGTCACTGGTCCCTACTGAGGCCTATAATGGTGGGTGAAGCCATGAGGCCTCAAAGGACAAGACAAGGGCACAGCTAAGGACACCTGGCTCCAACCTCTATTAACTAGATAAAGACTTTAGCTGCAGCCATCTCACACCTGGGTGGAAACCTTCCTGAAGATAACATCATTCTCCTAAATTAACGTAATGTCTTAAGTAGAGAACCCCTAGAGGGGACTTCCATGGTCCTTGGATGCTCCTGCAATTCAAGGCAGAGTCCTGCCCTCCTTCATTATTCCCCACCTTGTTCTGATAACTAAGCAAATACGGGCTGCCCAGAGAAGATCTTTGTCTTAGCCCAGAGAATCCTGAATTCTGTTAGAGCATTCTGAACCTCCCAGAGCCCAAAATTCAAACCACCTGACTTTTATTTAAGCCTTCTCTGTCCATTCCTTTGGGAGATTAGGGGCCTGATCAGTCTGTAGTAAATGGGGGATAATATTAACGTGGTATCAAGGGTATTTTATTAAAATACAAGTTTGTTCTTCTAGTCCCTTTATTTACTGTAATTCAATCACTGCTGTGTAGAAAGGAGAATTTGAAAACCCAGCCTACATGTTAGCCTAACATTTTGTAAAGATAATTTGCAGAAAACAGCTGAGGGCCTGTAAACATTCCACTGCCTTTTCTCTGTGACTATTGCCACTGAAGACTGCCTGTGTGAAAAATGGGCTTCCAATGAAAACTTTTTATTTCCTAGAAAGTGATGGTGCTGAACTAGTTTTCGCTGATCTTGAAATTTCAGTCATTTTCCTTATGCTTTTTTTTTCTTAAGCTATAAAAATCATAATCATAAGTTTTATTACAGATTCCTGGGCTAGAAAGGACTCTGCTCTGGTGAGACCCTGCCCGACCAGGGCTGCTCTGGCTGAGTGAATGCTAAGCAATAGGAACTGGTGCTGTAGAAGGAGTACACTATGGCCTCCCTTTCTCAAATTGTCAGAGCTAGACAAGTGGAAGCCAATAAGCATTATTAAGGAAAAACAAACATTTCTCTCACAATGTATAGGTCATACCATGCCATGAAATTCCTATTTTATACTATGCTAATCACTAAGTTGATTTAAATTTATATTGCTATGGCAAGGGTCAAAACCTAAAGACTAGCACCTATGACTGAGGTGACTGAGAGATCTGGTTGCCCCAGAGCCTAACCAGCACTTGGAATTGTGGACTTTTCCATCCTAGCAATATCAGACTTTAAAAACAGTATTAAGATACACCAGACATCCTGAAAAGTGTACGGATAGTGAGAGAACAACCTGAGGAACACTCAAACTCTCAACACATTGTGTAGCCTGCATCCAGGTGAAGAAATAGAACCCTGCCAGCTCCCCCGGAACCTCAGCTGCTTCCTCACTTACTCCCACCAACGTGAATGCTGATGTCACCTGACGGGCTTCTGCCAGCAGAGTTCAGTTCCTCCTGTTTTTGAACTTCACACGAATGGCCCAGTGCAGTACAGAGTGCTTCGGCTCTACCTCCTTTTGATCAACATTCCATCTGCGAGATCTGCCTATGCTGCTGCATTTAGCAATAATTCATTCATCTTTAATTCTGTACAGTATGTCATTACCTGAACCTTTACAACTGTCTGGCTCTTTCTTTTGTTACTGAGCTCTTTCTTCATTTCCAGTGTTTGGCTGTCAGGAACAGTGTGTCTGTGAACACATCCATACAGGTCTTCAGATGGGCATTTGCATACAATTCTGTTGGTCCTACTTTTATGAGTACAAATGCTGAGTCCTATGGCAGGCATAAGTTCAGCTATGTTCAAAACTACTGAATAGACTTTCCAAAGTGGTTTTACCAGCTGAATGGAAGTGACTGAGAGATCTGGTTGCCCCAGAGCCTAACCAGCACTTGGAATTGTGGACTTTTCCATCCTAGCAATCCTAGCAGATATGTCGTCATTTGTATCGTAGTCATATTTGTATTTCTCTGATGATTAATGACAGTGAATGTCTTTCCACAGACTCACTGACCGTCTGGTTGGTTTTAGGAAGTGTCCACACAACTCTTCTGACCATCTTTTCACCATCTACAAGGTGCTAGTGAGGGCATTATTGTCTTATTTCAAAGTTGACTGTCAGTCCGACAGATACTTGCTCCTTTCACACTCCAGAGTTCTTCCTAACAAAGCAGAGAAACCTTGCAGTGCGTGTAGTTAGCACTCAAGGATGGTTTTTTCCTTATTTTCTCACCACTGTTCCTATTCTGGGGCTGACATTCAAATTTAAAGTGAGTTCAAGGTAAAGTGAAAGACCATGGGCATCGAGAGATGTTCGGTTTGAATCTTGGCTTGACCACTAGCTAAGAAGCTGTGTTTCTCCGAATCCCTGCAAACACAGACACACAGGCGCAATACTGAACAGGTTTCCAGGGAGATGCAGTAAAGTATGGAGAACCACACAATCACAACAGTGTTAGAGCTAAGAGAGCTACTAAGAAAGCATGAGGCCTGCAGGCCTTCTCTCCACCACAGGGCTGGTGATGTGGCTCCAAAGAGCAAAGTGTCTTCCGGAAGTTGGTCCTGCTGGCCCAAGGACTTTCTCCCATGTTCTCAGCTTTTCCTGACCTTGGTTTCATCAGATACAAAATGCTCCCCTGATGCAATGATGCTGGAAGCTGGCAAGCATGCTTTTCCAGGGGGTGGTTTTGTCATTTTCTCATGTAGTTGATGAGGGGACTGGTTCCTGTCAGGGGAGATTTACAGCCACATTCCCATGCTGAGTCAGAAAAAATGCACTAAGAGAACTTCCAGTGGCGGCACTGGGTAAGGAGCAAGCATTCAAATTTCCTTGCATGGTACTCACAAGGGTAGAGATGAACATTTTGTGCTACTGATTCCAGTCTAGGAAATAACTACACGTAAATTGTGGGCAACATTGTTGTTCAGCTTTTGGGGAGAAAAGATTAAATGACTTTCAGGTATATCTAATCATAAGACAGTGACTTGCAACAATTTAAGTGCAGAGTCCAGCAATAAGTAAGTTAGGTGCAAAATCATGGGGTGGCAAAGTCAAGGCCGTAGGTTTTTGGTGACAATGCTGTAATGGATGTCTGCATTGTATGGAAGAAGCCACTGTGAACCCTCTGGAGATCTCAGATAGAGATGGAAGAAAGAAATTCATCTTTAAGTCCTAAGTGCACTAAACCAGACACATCAATCATAGCTCCTAGGCAGTAATCAACAATCTTAAGAGCTATCAGTGGAACCCCACTGAGGACCTGTATCCTAATAATGGAACAGGAGAAAGGGGCTGGTGATAGTAGTTATGAGAGGCAGGAAGGGAAGGGTTTGAGGGAAGCTCCCAAAGACTACCCAGAGACACACAAGTTAGTTCACTCCTTTTACCTCATTTCTCTCTAATTAAAAGACGAGAATAAGGCTGGATATCCTCACACATAATTATAGGGAAGAGGGAAAAGAACAGGGACAGAAGTTCCAATGTGATTCACAGTAGAAATATAGCTGCTAGGCCCATGTCCTCATAATGGACCGGGACATGAACAAACTAAAGTAGAAAGTCAAAGATACAATGTAAAGTACACAGAAAAAAAGATGCCTCCATTACAATAATTACATTTCATCAGAAACAGCTTTCTGATTGCAGGCCCGGAGAATTCCTTCCCTCTGACAGAGTGAAAACTACCTACATCTCTTCCCTTTAGAGTATTTTAACAGTACTGTTTAGGTCTTGCTATCTATTAGCTCAGGATGAATGTGATGAAACTGCCAGTTTTGCAACTTGGATATGAGCAATTTCATCTAGTTAAACCCTGTATAAATTTGAACACTTAAGTTACTCCCGGGGTCATTTAAATTTCCATCAGCTGTATTATCTGCCAGGTAAAAGTATTCTCATTTGATAGCTGATGGGCTCTATCTAAACCAATCCATTTCAGAAGAATAGTTTTTTTCTTAAAACACTCAAAGAAAAAAAAAAATCCAAAACCTAGAGGTATCATACATTAAAAAGGATATAACATCAAAACAGCTGAGGAGATGGGATAGCAAAGATTGAAAACCATATGGGGGAATATAGTTTCCTCCTTTACCTATGGTTTTACTTTCTGTAGTTTGAGTTACCCTCAATCTGAAAACAATAAATGGGAAATTCCAGAAATAAACAATTTGTAAGTTTTAAACTGCATGCCCTTCCAAGGAGTGTAATGAAATCTCAAATGATCTCACTCTGTCCTGCACAGGCTGGGAGTCATCCCTTTGTCTAGCATATCCATGCTGTATATGCTATCTACTTGTTAGATACTTAGTAGCCATCCTGACTGTTATCAAATCAATAGCTGCTGGACTGCAGTACCCATATTCAAGTGACCCTTATTTTATTAATAATGTCCTTCAAAATATAAAAGTGGTGATACTCGCTGTCTTGGTTACCTTTTTCTCGTTGCTGGGACAAAATACCTGGTGCCCAAAATTAAGGAAGGAAAAGTCTATTTTGCTTACAGTTCGTGGAGGTTTCAGTC